ATGGCCGGCGTTTTGATAGTTATCATTAGCCCTTTAGTTGACTTCGGGCTTCACAGAGGGGAGGAGGAACATCAAAGTGAGAAGAATTCAGGAGGGGGAATAGAAGGGTGTTTCAAAGATGTAAAAGAAACAGATACAAAGACTCAGAAAGGGTAAGATGAGTAGTGGTAGGGGTCGAATATGACATACAGTGGGGGTGATGGTTGTTTGAAGTGAGAAGTCAACTGCCGATAAATAGACTTTTTTGCCGCATGAGTATATGTTGCCCAGGGTGCACCACGTGGAGGTAAGTCTATCGCACACCCCACTATTAGCGAAGTACATTTTCTTATATGGATCTGATTAGGTGATAACTGATTGGCTACTGGTCAATACCTGAGATGTGAGCATTCGAGTGCAACGCAAATATTCGATTGGGCGTCCAAACAGTGTTCATTTAGTTTACAAAAGCCACCTGAATAACCAGAATTGGACTTTTCTACTCAATCATCTCCTCTCATTTCCATAATTGGACCGGTTTACTGTTTCTCATATTTCATTCTAAAGAGTGTGTATACCTAATATTAAAATTACTGCGAGTTATTATTAATGAGCCTTACTCTGTTAGTTAATTTGATTAGTGAAAAGTATTCTGTGGCCAATCATCACTGTTCTCAGCTTAGGAAAAAAGGCGAATCTGTTGAATGGAATGATTATTGGAAAATTCAAGCTCTTCATGCCTATAATTCAATGTTCTTTTCTTTATTGACTTCTGTTAGAAGAACTTATCGGTTGAAATAAGAGCCGTGGTCCTTTCTACACCCAATGTCTCAATTCTCTTCGTTTTAATGTCCTATTAACGATATAGTAGTATTCACCAAAAAATTCATCTCCAATAGTCATTGTTTGATGAACATAGTGCGCACAAAGATTTCTTCCTATTTTAGCTTGTATTGACGGTCATGCTGACATCAGTTGTCATCTATCTCTACACCGTGATAGCATTCAACTTCTTCCGCAAGTTCTATGCCAAAGAAGAGGACGGAGAAAAGGAATACAAATGTAACGATATGCTCACGGTAACTCTCTTTCCCACTTCTATTTCTTACAAAGTGAATTGTATAGTTCAAAATGATTTCTAATGCTTCTCATTTTATATAATCGACTTGTATTCTACTTAATTGTAATCAGTAGTTACAATCTATTTAAGTGCTTCATATTCCACTTACACTCGGGTCTGAGAGCTGGTGGCGGCATAGGTGACGAAATAGAACCTCCTGACGGTGACATCCACGAAGCTCTTCGAATCATCTTCGATATGACATTCTTCTTCTTTGTTATCATTATTCTCCTTGCTATCATTCAAGGTTGGTAATATTCATCACCTACTGAAATGGTACAATGAGTAGTACATCATTAATCCGCATTTTTATGCGTGAATAGGTTTGATTATTGATGCGTTCGGTGATCTGAGAGATCAACTGGAACAAGTTCGCGAGGATTTGGAATCGAAGTGTTTCATTTGTGGCATTGGAAAAGAATACTTCGATGCAACTCCGCACGGATTCGATCGACACGTGGAAAGAGAACACAATTTCGCCAACTATATGTGAGTTTAATAATTTCGAAACAACATTTTTGGTATATGAAGCATAATCTAAATCAGTATTTTGTAAAGATGTAATAAAATTTAAATAACCAAAAATTGTAAGGGTGTAGCAGTCGAAGGAGGCAACCAACTTGCTGCAATACCCCTTTGAGCAACATGGGTTTTAACATACCTCAGGTCCGATTTTCCCATTAGTCTACTCTGTGACACGTTGGTCTCCTTATTTCCAAATACGGTGGGGTTTTGGGCTCGCTCATCTTCCAATTTCTTAGTTGCAACGCCATTTTTTCACAAGGATCCTGTGACATAGATTTGGTCAAATCGGAAGTAAGTTCTCTTAAACAATCTGACCAGGCAATTTCATTTTGAATTTTAGTTTAAGAAAATGATAACCACACCTCCCATACTCTCTCAATTTGAAAACTTAATTGAAATCGAAGGCTAGCAATTAACTATTCCTTATTGCCAACTGTGCCTCATTTGGGTTTATCCAAAAACTTGCAATTGGTACAATAATTCGATGTGATTCAGTTTCTCGATACTTCGTCTATCTCAAATCACTGCTTGAACTCCAGATTTCAGTAATATGTTTTTCGACTTAGCTTCCACCTATTCTCAACAAATATTTATATCAAATGGCAAGCGTTTTGATAGGTATCAGTAGCCTTTTAGTTGACTTGGGGCTTCGCAGAGGGGAGGAACAGACAAAGTCACAAATTCGTGAGGGAGGGGGGGGGGGACAGTAGAGAATGATTCAGAGATGTAATAGAGACGGAAACAAAGGCAGAGAAAAGGTAAGGTGGGCACTGTGGAAGTTGTGGAATATAGCTTACAGTACGATCATGGTAGTTTAAGGTCAGAAGTCAACTTCCGGTTTATGGACTTTTTGTCGTTTGAGTACACGTTCCCCAGTGTGAACCACGTGGGGGTGAGTCTTTCTCGCTCCCACGATCTAATATTGATCTTAGTATTCTTTTTTTCATTTGCTATGGATAAACTAATATAGTTTTCTAATTTAAGGTATTTCCTCATGCACATTATCAACAAGCCAGACACAGAGTTCACTGGACAGGTACGTCAAGCTTGTTTGAAAGCACAAAACTGATGAAGGATTTCGATCCTGGAGCAAAATTTGATCTGTTATTCTTTCTAGGAAACTTATGTCTGGGAGTTGTACCAGCAACGTTGTTTGGATTTCTTCCCAATTGGAAATTGTTTCCGCAAGCAATACGAGGAGGAACTTCAAGCAAAATAGTCTTGGAACAACTGTGAAATCACTTTCTTTCACTTTCGCCTTTCGAAACAAACTCATTTTCGAACCCTCTCTCTCCCTCTCTCTCCCTCTATCTTCTTCTCATTTTACCGTATAAAGAGATACATGCTTATGTAAGTAGATAGATTCTAATTTATTCGAAAAAAGAATTACTTTCGCTTGGACTCATTTTTTCCCTCAACAGGAATGGATGTGATTTGTATTCCATCTATTTTCTCATCCAACTGTGTGCATCATTTCTTTTGTGGTCGAGTAATTATTTTCTTTTCGTTGGGAGAAAAATGAGCAATTTGGGTATTAGAAGCGATTTGTTTTGAGCGCGTGTGTTTGTCAAAGTGCGTGCGTGCGTGCGTGTGGTGATTTCACGCGCCTGCTTGCTCAGCCTTTAATGGGGATTATTTTCATAATTAAAAGTGAATTCGCACTTTGTTGGCATCTTCTCTCCCCCCCTTCTCTTACCCTCTCCATCTGCCCCTCTTACTTTTTGCTTGCCTGGTTTTCGGAGTGTAACGGTCGATGAAATTCCACCTTTGAGTTTAAAGATGTTATTAAAAGCAGACTTCGCTAGTATTTCGAATAAGGAAACTATGCGCACTGTCAATCGGTTATTCTTCCTTAATTACGAAGAAACAGTTAAATGTTCAATTATTAGTCCATTCAGATGTGCATATTACTCATACCTTTATTTAGTAGTAATAATAAGTAGTAAGTGTATGACCCAAATATGAAAATTTTATTGAATTTAACGTTTTACGACAGAAGAAGAATTAAGAAACTTCTAAAAGGAGACCCGTCGACTGGGTGGGCAGAATTTGGTAGAAAACGTTAAGCAGCCTTGAAGGAGGAAACCAATGAAACGCAACTTCAGGACTTGAAATAAATGAAGTCACTGGCAATGCTGTCAAGAAGAGATTTGCCACATCTTATGATACTTCAATTCATGGTTGAGTAGATAATTTCGAATTGGGAGATTTTGATCCTCATGCCTTCGAAATTTCCACGTACATGACTTATTACCAAAAGTTAAATTAGATTGGCTCTTTTGTAAATAAGTGGTTTCGCATCCGGAATTCTCGATCCTTCAGTTAGGTTAGCAACCAATTAGACATGTGAGTTCCTACAATTATTGTCATAGAGTTTTTTGTTTTGTTCAGTCACTCGAGCAAAATAAAACTTGTCACATGCGTCAAGCCTCTGCTTCATGGCGAGGAGGAGGAGGTGGCACGTGGTATGAAGAGCGATAACAAGTAGTCACGAAGGAAGTGGAACACGGCTTTGTCGATGAAGGTGGGCCTGTAGGCTAGTTGGCTGCAATGATGGGCATGTCGGGAGGGAGGGAGGGAGAGGGAAGTGGGTGTCACCACCACTGCTGTCACAGGTATCTGCACGAGACACTCATTTCTTGGT